GAATCTGTCCTCGCATAAACAAGGGCTGCACACTAACCAAATAAATTACAAGCACAAGTAAAACTTCAAAACTAAAAATTCGGCAACTATTGCGATGCTAGCAATATCAATTTATATTCCCCGGCAACGACGCCATTTTGTTAGAACAGTGGTTAAGTGTCGGGTTTATATTATCGTCTCCACAGGGAATATCAGATATTGCTGCATTTCAACAATTGTTAAATTTATAGTTTAGTGGTATCCAAGGGTTTGTGTTTAAGGTAACAAGTATTTTGCATGAAAGGAATAAATGAGATAAAAGTTAGGTTTTAACGGTTTGAATAAAGATTGTCAAAGTTAGGTTTTGGTAATCACTTTGCATGTATACTTCCGATCAACATTTAATAAACTCTTTCAAATGATCAATGTATTCACAATATCCTCTCAATATGATTATCTCTAACTCATATTGTGAAGTTTATCATTTTAATCCATTGTTGATCTCTCATACAATCTATCAAAATGACAACCTTAAAGTTCAACATTTTAAGTGAACAAAATCATCCAAGACTATTTCTAGCTCAAGAAAAGAGATGGGTGAAAACCTAGGTCAAGAGTTGATAAATATTTCTCAATCATTAATCAACACAAAAGATTATGAATAAAACAAAGTTTTCACCATACATTAATCATTCAAGAGTTTACAAATGAAGATCATCCATACAAATACAAAGTTCAATGATTACCTACATCTATCTTTGACAACAAGATGAACTTAGCTACACATTCTCATGGTAGCTTACAAAAGAAGTTTCAAAGTCGGTTGATGAACATCCAAGTCTAATGATCCAACTTTGATGATGATCCACCTTGTTGTTGTTTGATTATGTTAAGAGATGAAGGAAAATAGCCAAAATAGGTTTTTAGGTCACAAAACCCTTTCTTGCAGCCAAACAAATGTAAAAGTGAAAAAGAAGATATTCTCCAAAAAGTGGCCCAAGCTACTTATAGTAAGTGACAAATCTGGGCACGCTCGCTACTTACTCGCTAGGCGAGCTGCTGGCGAACGCTCGCTACAGCCTCGCCTAGCGAACCTGCCAGCGAGGTTAGCAAGAAACATTCTGTTATGCTTCGCTAGGTGCTCGCTGCAGCGAATGAGCCAGCGAAGGGTGCCTGGGACATTCTGTTTTGCTTCGCTAGGTGCTCGCTGGGAGCTCACCTAGCGAGCCTCTTCGCCACTTGCTCGCTGGCCAATATTGATGCTGAAAACCATTCTGCCCAAGTCTGGAGCTGTTCGATACGTGCTCGCTAGGCGAGGCTGTAGCGAACACTCGCTACTCACTCGCCAAGTTCTCGCTGAGCGAACCAACTTTTGTTATGCTCTTTGCTTGATTCCTTTGCAAACTTTCTTGTGCCTTCAATAATGCTCTTTCACACTTAAATCCTGCACAATAACGCACAAATCAAAAGGACCAAAAGAAATTGACACAGTGATGCACATTAACAAAAGCAAAGCTTAATAAATACATTTTTGGCATAAAAAGGAGTGAAAGATGTCCATATTTGATAGCTCCAATAAGCACAATTGGGCATCTAACAATATGCAATCAACAACTCAATGCACTTAAGACCGACATCTTAATCTCATGCATTCAATTAATTCATCTCTTCAAGAATTATCACAACGATTGCACACACAACATATTCATACATATCATTAATATATTAACAAACAATGCACACATATACATAATATGTTCTCATGCATTCTTCATACATTTTAAAATCAATTATAAAAATGTATTACATTTCTCCACGAATCACAATTTCGATCAATTCACAATCTAGGATTCACGCCGTAAGGCTACCCACAATATAATATATCCCGGCGTAATCGACGCCTCGAGCATGGAAATAATCAAAGTTAAGTCGGAAATCCGACCTCGATGGAAACATTAAAGAAAAACACATCCTGTCACGTTCGCTACTCTGCTCGCTTAGTGAGCTCCTAGCGAGTATTCGCTACTTGTTCACCCAGCGAACAAGTTCGCGAAGGCAAACAGAAGCTACTGACTTCGTTTGCTACCTCGCTCGCTCAGCGAAGGCCTAGCGAACCTTCGCTACCTCCTTCGCTACCAGCGAACACCATAACATGCATTATGTCCAAGTCTGGGATTGTTCGCTACTGACTCGCTACTAGCTCGCTTAGCGAACGTTCGCTACCAGCTCGCTCAGCGAACATGCTAGCGAATGTCTGCGAACTCCAAATTTCTTACTGTCCAACTTCCACCAAACTCTCCAAAACCAACCGATTCTCACCGAACAAGTTCCGTAACCTTAGTCTAACATTCCCCCGACTAAATACTACCACTTATTCTCATTTTCCATCGTGAAAACTCAAATTCTACTGATTAATCCATTTATGCCCTAAAATGGAAGTTGTGGAAAAACATCCAATACTCTAACCCAAGCATACATATCCATATACATTGTTAAGATAATGATATTTCACACCCTTACCTTGATTAATCCAAAGCTTGAGAGTTGTTCTTGATGATTCCAAGTTCTTCCCTCTTCTTCTTCTCTTTTCTCCTCTTTCTCCTTCTTTCTCTATTCTTTCCTTTATGTTTCTATCTTTTCCTTTTCTTTCCACTCTCCTTTTTAATATGTATTTCTCTTCTAATTCTCTCCAACATCTATTAATTCATTTAATTAAATACCCATCAATTAAATAATTCTCATTAACCCATTAATTAATGCAAATAAGTAATTAATGAAAAATCGGGCTGTTACAGAAGGCACCTGGATTTCTAGAGCGAACGTGGAAGGATTGATGCATTTGAGGGAATCTTTGCTTTGCATTGATGAAAATTCCTTTGAATCAAGTGGATAAGACCAAGGGAAGTTAGAAGATAAAAAAAGGTATAATGATACACCCACTAATCTGCGTGCTCTGCAAGAGAAGAACAACGCTGCCTGCACCCTGTTGTTGTAGCCTGTCACAAGACACCTTATCCCCCAAAATTGTTCTCTTATACTTGATTCCTTGCATACTAAGCAGAAGGAATGATGTGAAGGTGCTGATTTATGTAATGGGCTTGATTTGATTTTCTCATTTTTCCCATGATCCAAGACATCACAAGGAACCTATTAAAGGCTTATAAATAGACCTTGATGGAGATTGAAAGAGGAGTTCAACATTCTTCCAATATAAAATACAAAAGATAATAGCGTGAGGATAATGGAGAGAAAAGAGAGTTTCTTCTTCTCACCATTTTCTGTACCAACTGTTGAGACTTTGCATGACTATAGTCGCCTCTTGCTGATTATCCATCTCAAGAAGTCTTCAAGTTACTTTCAAGTTTACATTTATTTTTCATTATTTGTTTAAGAATGTATCATTTGAGCCTGTAGTTTGTACTTAGCTCATTCTGAGCTAAGCCTTTCGTTTGTTGATCAATGAGAAGTTAATGTTATGTTGTTTTTATGTTAAGTTATGTGTTATTTAGTGTCTTGTTTTATTATATGATAACTTGCATGCAAATCTGATTCTTTGAATGATCAACTTAGAAAAATATAACAACTTGTTGTTGCGAGAGATCCAACAACAAGTGAATTTTATAATAAAAGTAATTAAAAGTGCAGGGTATAGATATTCACCTGATTACTTCAACTTAGAGATAAGGAACTACAACTATAAAGAATTTTAGAATACAAATAGACGTATTTTAGGTTTATAAGTGTGACCTAGACATTTGTTCCATTGCCTTATAAAACATGTTTTGATGTTGTAGAAATACACTTCTAAATCACTCTGGCATTTCCTGGCACGACATTACACATCATGAACACATATTTACTTCACTAATATTAATAGACCATAACTCAACATAAACTCTCTTGATATAATATCACTCTCACCTTATACTGTTTAGATCTGGTTTACGAAGAAACCTGAACTTGTGAACACATATATTATTTTTATCCTTGCTCGTGCTTAATTTCAAAAGATAGTTTCTTGCAAAATCAATCTAAGCAACATTCACTTCTTGTGGGTACGATATTCTTACTTTTTATCACTTGATACTTTTAAACATATATGTATACTTGCATGTGACACAATTTTAAGCAACATGTACCTCCTCCTTATTTTCATGAAAGTAGATAATTTCCTCTTTCTTATTTGTGGGACTTGTATGGCTTTTAAGTAGAGTTGGCTAAAAATCAATATCTTCTAAGTTTTATATGATTTTGCTTTTCTTTGGGTGAACCCGAAAAGTGAACCACGGTTACTCTTGACCCCAAAGATAACAAATATGTGTGATTTCCTTTATGTCAGTTTCCTATGCATGACATTGGTTTAGTGATTATGGTATTTGCTTACCTTTCTCCTCGTTTTAACTTCAACAATTTTTTTTGAGTGTTTCATGTTGTCTCCTATGATTTATCCTCATTCTAGAAATTACACTTGTTATTTTCAACATTTATGCGCTTACCTTCAAATAAGACCTCAAACCACAATGTTATGCCATTTTCTCTAATCACATGGGAGTTCCCAAATAATAAACATAGATTGGTAAAATATGTATCATAGCCATGAACCAAAAATAAAACGTTTAATTAATGTCTCATCATCCCACGTACGAACGTGCAATTATACCCTTCCATTCCAAGGCATAAAGGAATAGTTGTGTATTCATGTTATCATCGTCATTCCATATCAATAAAAAAACTTTAAAAGTTAGTGTGCCAAAGTTGTCTTTCTAGCCATAAAGCAATGCTTGAAACCAAAAGTTCTAACAAGTTGTCAATAGAGGTTTATGTGCATGTTTTGACACAAATTAAAATAAGATTCTTTGCTTCCTCTAAAGACTACTTATAAAATACATTTCATCTTGCTTCTTTGATTGTCCTATTCATCTTTTATAAATATGGAGAATGAATAACTACAGTACCCATCTATCTTCAATCACATAACTATAAGAGAAAGACATTTCAACTCATTTTTCAAGTTTCAAGAAATGGAAAATAGGCTAAACCAAAGAAGGTAACTAAGTCGTTGGAATTTTTTATAATTATTTTACAAATTAGAAACTCAAAATTTTGACTGTTTGATCTTTATCAAAACTCTAGATTATAACTGATTATAAATATTATGAGAAAAACCATTGATATGCATTTTTTTTATTTGATTTTTTACTAATAACAAATTATTCACTATACTAACAAAAAAATCACTTGTGTGTTTTTCTAGAGTGTCATTTTCTAGTCCACAGACAAATAAACAAACAAGAGATGATGAATTTGTAACTGCAGTAGCAGCTGCTGCATTTTCCATTTATTCATTAGAAGAAGCAGGGTTACTTGATATGAAGAAAATAAGAAATAGTCCAAAGTTTTCAAAGAACCAATCTATGAGAGGAAAAGAGGAGAATATACCAAGGCAACCAAGTTATGGTAACTAGATATTTACTTAAATGTATCTTATATTTTTGTTCGATATCATTTTTATAGACCCCAAAAATTATTTAACATGTTATGTGGGTGCCATCAAGGTGAAATTTCAATGAAAATGCCATTTAGACAAGAATCAAGGACAAGAGAAGGTGCTTTACCTCTTAGAAGTTCTAATGGTATATCCCCAATTGGAGGGTATCAAAAGCAAAAAGGGATTATAATACATAACAAAAATGATAAGGCAGAAGCTTGGGAAAAGGCTAAGCTACAAAGGATTCAAAAGAGGTAATAGTTGTTAAAGTGAATATATAGAGTCAACAAATATAGATTTAGTATATTCTTGACAATGCAAGAAAATTCAGGTATGAGAAGATGAAGCTCCAAATGCTTTCTTGGGAAGGTGAGAAAAGAATCCAAGCCAAAATCCAAATGGAAAGGAAAAAGGTTAGCATTGAATTTGTTGGGTTTCTACATTTAAATTTTTATGAACACATGATTAATTTTAATGTAACTACAGAATGCATTGGATTACAAAAGAGAAAATGTTATAGAACATTACAAGAGAAAGATAGCAAGGTTAGATATGATTGGACAAAGAGCAATTAAAGAGTTGGAAGATCAAAGAAGAAAAGAAGAGTTGAAAGTCAAAGAAAAAACTAACAAAATTAGAAAAACAGGCAGGATGCCTGTCACATGTTTCTGTTTCAAGTCTTTATAGGATCATGTCATGGAATTTAGAACATGAATCACCCAATTTGAAAAAAATTGTGAAGTTAAATTTAAAGAATGTCTTCCTCAACTTGGCTTTAGAAATTTAATGATGATATACTTAAGAAAGATTATCTCTCAAATTGTTGACATAGTTATGCAGTAGTCAAATTTCATATTTAAGGTCAACTCAAATTGTTATGGCTGTAAGACATGGATTATGACTTATTCAATAAATTGAACTTATAATATTATAATATATTCACGTTATGCGAGTTCTCACCCCTTTCAATTGGGGATAAAAAATGGCCACCCAGCTCTACCCTAAAGGGAAAACCAACGGGTTTTTCCACCTGGCACACCCATTTTTTAAAATTGATTTTTATCTACAGCAACAAAAATTAATAATTAAACTAAATATTTAATAGTTTAGTAATAATAATAATATTTAATAATTTTTATTAAATTTATATTTTAAAAAATGTATAATAATTGTAATAAATTTTTTATCTTAAGTAAAGTGATAATAAAATTATTAAAAATAAAAAAAATTAATAGGTTGGTGCGAGACGGTACTAGCATCTTTATCTCCGCCTCTGTAATTAAGAATTGGATTTTTTCGAATCCGCCCTTGCTCACAATTAAATCGAATTTTTCTTATTAACTTTGGGGCGATGGCGGATTTTTTTGCCATGTCTTATCAAATGACGTAAATATATTCAATCATAAAAAATATTTTTACTCAATTTATTATTTATTTATATATTTTTTGTTAGATATCTCTCTCTCTCTCTCTCTCTCATCTCTCTCTCTCTCTCTCTATATATATATATATATATATATATATATATATATATATATATATATATATATATATATATATATATATATATATATATATATATATATATATATATTCGAATGTGATTTATTTAATCAATACCATATATATATATATATATATATATATATATATATATATATATATATATATATATATATATATATATATATATATATATATATATATATATATATATATATATATATATATATATATATATATATATATATTCGAATGTGATTTATTTAATCAATACCATTTATTTTCTTCTTAATATTAGATGGAATTTTTACTAATGAGATATTTTTAAAAATACGGTCTCTCATTTTTTTATTATGGATATTAAAAGTTTCACTTAAATTACAAATCACAATTTCATTAATTTAATATTGGATTATGTTTGTGGTCTCTCTAATCATCTCAAACTTCACTTTTAATTCTTTAATTTTTTTCAAAAAAATAATACTTATAATTTTTTTCGTCCACACTTTTAATTCCTTTCGTCAACGTCTATTAACAAACACTAACACATCAAATAGAAGATTTTTGGTGCCTGAGCGTACATGTGGCAAGTAACAACATGATAAATATTATAAAAAATACGATAGATTTCAAGAGTTACAAACCTCCTCAAAAACAGTCGGTGAAAAAAATGATTTATCATTCAAAACTTTATTAATTATGTAACTATCACTAAAAAATAAGCCTTTTGAAATAAAGTGCATAATATACATTCACCTAAAAGTATGAGTAGTATAATGGAGGGTCCACCTGACTAACCCGTTTGACCTATTATTTTTTGTGGACTGGACCTAGATTTTTGGTTCGGTGCCTTAAGTTGATCTGCACTGTCTAACCCGCTTTTAAAATGGCGCGGACACGTGGCTTATCGGGTTTAGCTCACGGGTTTTGGTTAAATTTTTTTACTTAGAATGAAAATCGAGCAGTGTATTGAGGAGGTTAATCCACTAATTTTTTTTCTCTTTATTGATAAAAAAAAGTGAAATTGAATACTTACGTCTAATGTCACAATGAATTGAAAAAAAAATTCATGTTATTTCGCTTACAGTGATGGCGGATGCAAGCCGTAACCATGAAAATCAATCATTTATGAGATAGAAATTAAAAAATTGAAAAGTAATGGAGTAGTAAATTTTTTTATTATTGTTTAATAAAATACTACAACTTTTTTTTATATTTAATTGTTTAGTGACTCTTAAAAGTGTGTATTATTATTTAGATGGTAATGGTATATGGAATCAAAAATTAGTTGGATATAAAAGTTTGTAAATTAAAAAAAATCAAAGTGTTCATAAGAAGAAGTTGACGTTTGCTCCAATTTTGGTTTTGTCGAATCCAAGTGAGTCATTTGTTGTATATTGTGATGCTTCGAAGAGGGTATGAGATATGTGTTGATGCAGAATGATCAAGTGGTAGCTTACGCTTCTAGATAGTTGATAGTTCATGAGAAGAATTATCGTGCGCATGATATTGAGTTTGTAGCAGTAGTATTCGTGTTGGAAAGTTGGAGGCACTACCTATTTTGGCTACAAATTTGAGGTGTTCAATGATCACGAGAGTTTGAAAATATTTGTTTGATCATAAAGAATTGAATAAGAGGCAGAGGAGATGGCTCGAGTTCTTAGAATATTAATATTATGATTTCCGTCTAAATTACCATGCAGGTAAAGCGAATGTGGTAGCTGATGCGTTGAGCAGGAAGTCCTTACATATGTCAATGCTTATGGTTCGAGAATTGGAGATACTGGAACAATTCTGAGATATGAGTTTAGTATGCGAAGAAAATTCTATCAGTGTGAAGTTAGGTATGTTAAATATGACTAGTGGTATTCTGGAAGAGATCATGAGAGGGTCAAGAGATTGACTTGGGGTTGATGGACCATTTAGTGTTAATCAATCAAGGAAAAGGTGGAGAGTTCATGATTGATGAGAACGATGTGATTAGATTTAAAGATAGAGTTATGGTCCAAATGTGCCAAAACTTAAGAAGAGTATTATTGAGGAAGGACATCGCAGTGGTCTAAGTATTCATCTTGGTGCCACAAAGATGTATCAAGACTTGAAGAAGTTATTTTTATGGCACGATATGAGAGAGAAGACGCCGAGTTTGTTTATGTTGGTTTGACTTACCATAAGTCAAAGATTGAACATCATAAGTCGTTGGGTCTGATGCAACCGTTAAGTATTTCACAATGGAGATGGGATGACATATCTATGGATTTTGTGTCAGGTTTGCTAAAGACTGCTTAGGGAAATTATTCGATTTAGGTGATAGTGGATAGATTGCCTAAATCGACTCATTTCATAATGATTAAGATTAATAATTTCTTACAGAGGTTAGCCGAGTTCTATCTTGAAGATATTGTGATACTGCATGGTTTAGCTTCGAGTATTCTGTCAGATAGGGATTTGAGGTTTACATCAAGTTCTGGGAGAGTTACAAAAGCCTTTGAGTATGAAGTAGAGGTTGATTTATGCTTATTATCCATATTAGGACAATCAAACAGAGAGAAGTACTCAATCTTTAGAGTTTTTCGAGAGCTTGCGTGCTAGAACAAGGTGGTACTTGGGATAGCTGATTGCCATTGAGTGACTTTACCTACGATGACAATTTTCATTCTAGCATCGGAATGACACTGTATGAGGCATTATATGGTAGGAGATGTGTGACTCATTTATGTTGGTATGAGTAAGGCGAGAGTGCTATGCTCAGACCTGAATTTGTTCTGCATACGACTGAGAAGATCAAGATTATCTGAGAGAAGATGATAGCGTCACTGAATTGTCAAAAAATTTATCATGATAAGAGAAGGAAATTACTTAAGTTCCCGGTGAAGATCATGTGTTTTGGGGGTTACTCTAGTAACTGGTGTTGATAGAGCTCTGAAGTCTCGTGACCTCACTCCGCACTTCGTTGGCCCATACTAGATTTTATAGGGGATATGAGGAGTGACCTATCAAATTTATTTACCACCTTCACTTTCTAATCTTCATGATGTGTTTAATGTGTCTCAGTTGAGGAGATACATTCTGGGTCAATCTCGTGTGATCTAAGTGGATGATGTACATAGGAGAGATAACCTGATTGTTGAGGCATCACCCATTCAGATAGAGGATCATGAAGTGAAGCAATTGCATGGAAAAGAGATTACCTTGGTGAAGGCAGCTTGAGGAGCAGATGAGAGAGTCGTATCCAACTTTGTTTTCCTCAGGAAAATTTCGAGGTTGAAAATTCTTTAAGTGGGGGAGAGTTCTAACACCCCATTTTCATTAGATTGATTTTTTATATATATATATATATATATATATATATATATATATATATATATATATATATATATATATATATATATATATATATATATATATATATATATATATATATATATATATATATATATATATATATATATATATATATATATATATATATATATATATATATATATATATATATATATATATATATATATATATATTGTGATTTAATTAATCGTTGTGTAGTTGTGGGGTGCAAAGAGAGAGAGAGAGAGAGAGAGTTAAAGTCTAGTAGAATTATGTAGAATTGTTTAGAATCATAAATAATTAAATAATAGTAAATTTAGTGGATTTATTAATTAAAATAGTAATATGAGGAGTTGGAGCATATTTGAGAATTAAAAGAGTTAGAGGTTGATATAAGTAACTTAGAATTATTTTTAATCACTTAAAATAATAGTAGTTATTTAATTTGATTAAAATAAAATAAAATATAAGGAGAATGGCAAAGTAGAGATTTTGGGAGTAAGGGATGATAGAATAGAGAAATTCAAATTAGGGATTTTGTATTATAAATAGAGAAGTTGAGAGAAAGTGTGGGTTTGGTCAGGACGTGAAAAATTGGTTTGAAGAGGCAAGAGTAACATTGGAAACTTATAGCTATGGGAAAGGGAAGAACACCAAGAAATTCAAATTCCTTTTGCTGCTAGGAGAACCAAGGTAAGGGGGAGATTACTCTTTAATGTGTATTTAAGCATGAGGGGTAAAAGGAAGAGTACTTGACCTCCAATAGGATTTGGGTGTTCTAATGCTTGATTTTGAATTTGTTGTTATAATTGTTGTTGTATAATGAATTTGGTGTGATTTTGTTGATATAATATGTGCAT